AGTTGCAACAGTCCACAACATTACACCACGGGATGCAATTTTTATTTTGCTTACCTCCGTCCGAAACCGCTCTTCTTCCTTACAAAATTCATAATATTATTATTACAGATTAGGTTAGGTTAGGTGGTATTAATACAATGAAAATAAATCGGTTGTCACACAATATATGCTTTGCAGGTTGGTTCGTCATAATGAATTATTCCAATATTGCTTATAACAATATGAAAAAAATATAGGTACCTTGACTAGGGCGCTTGGTTACGAGATTGCAACATTGTRAACAGGAGAGAATCCCCRAATAATATTTCAATCGCCATTGCCAAGTGATGGTAACTATACCGATATAATTTGTTAGCCCACTTACATGGGAAAATCTTTCGGGAAATTCAATGCAACCAACAGCGAATGCATTTCTATACTGCGATAATATTATTATATGGACCGGAAGAGGTTGTTGTAATTTCGTAGAGAGTATTTATTTTTTTTCAATTATCATTCTCGTCCACGTTAAATCGCGGATCTCGCGAATCAATACTCCAGGAGAACCAATGTGTCCGTGAACATGACGTTATAAGCCCGCACGAATACATATGACTACGACACTCCTGTAAAAACACTTAAGTGTGGCGAGAAAATAACAACACGGGTGTTTGATAGTTTYCCGAACAATGTCCGGACATTCCTGAAAAGTTTACATTCAATTTGGCTTGCAYCGCAGACGCAAAMTCTATAGAGCAAGGGTGGCAAACTTTTTGAACACTAAAAACCAAATATGATCTTTTTTTCCGAGCGTGTCATGAAAAATAAGTTGTCATATTCAATATTTTAAAAGAATTATCGTAATTTTATTGTAATTTTATTGTATTATTAATGTATTAGTATAAAAAAGGTTATTTTAGGTACGTACAATTAAAATAATATTACTTTGTTGATTATTTGTTTTGATGTGATTTTTGTTGTTAAATATTTGGTACAAATTCGTTGATATTTGTTTTATAATTTATTAGTAACTTGTGATAAAGTAGATACATATGGCGCTGTATTCATCAGTTAGTCGGTTTCTTAAATCAGATCTTACAAAATTAATTTCTGAAAATAGTGACACGCATGAATAAATTGAAAAAAAATAGACAAAATTGCTATACCTTTATTTTCAAAGCGGAATAATCTTTTGGAATTTCATTCCATGGCGCAATGTCAATCAAAAAAAAACTTAGGGTGCTTAAGCTATGTATTTTATAATTTTAGTTTTTTTTTTTGTATGAAAAAGTTTTAGACACATTAACACGAACATTAGAATTTTATTTTAAAATTTGAGTTGCTAATACCCCYTGAGACCCCCTATGTACATTCCACACTTTCAAAATCTCGTTCCCTATGTTTACGATCAATTTGCCTATCGCCCTATTACGCTGAATTTCTTCTAATTCATTTTACAGTATAATGAATTTTTCCTTCCATATTATAGAAAAAATATTTTAATTTTTCGCATACCCTCAAAATCTTTTCACGTGCCATGGATTTGCCATCCTTGCATTGAGTGTATGCGAACGAAACTTGGTGAAAAGAATTGCGCCAGTGTACAACAATGTATATACATGGAGAAATCACCGTAATACACTCACTCGAGAGCAACATCTTTTGTGTGTTCAACGAAAGTTTTGAAACTTCTGATTCTATATGTAAACGATTTAATTTTTTTCACTACAATAAGTACAATATGTAGACAACTCACATCTCGTGGTCTGGACCTGATCCACGAATAACATTACGCCATGATGATGTATACGAGAATAATATGCGTAACTCGTGAGCCGTGACGCACAACTACATTGTCTTCGACCGTACATATTATTATAGTATTTAAAATAATATAATATTATCATAATCTATTGTRTCGGTGTAGCGTGTTTTTGACAATAAGAAAACAAAATGAAATATTTACCATGATAATATGACGATGAAAAAGAAAAATCGTATAACACAACTGCAATGGGCATGTCTGAAACGTGGCTAAGGGTAGGGTAGTAATGGTCAAAATAAATTAATATCATCTTGATACAGAGAGATCTCCCTCCCACTACGAAGCTCTACATTAATAAATAATTGATTAAGTTCTAGAAAAACATTAAATCCTTAGCTAATTATTTTATTGAATTATGATTTGGTAATAAATTACATGTTATTATTTAGATACAATTTAATAATTAATACATTTATAATACAGATTCAATTCTTAATGCAGGGATWCAATTCACATAAATACGGTATTGAGAATAWCTAGTATGAAAATGTTGTGTTACGACCTAATTGTGTGAAAAAGTCAGCGCGATCAGGTGCACAGTTATTTTTCATCATAAAAATGTTTAAAAATCGRCTATCTACTATATGATTAATATATTAAAAACTTTATTGGAACAGAAACGAGACTGAAAGCATATGTACCTATTTGTTTTAGTATATTAGTTGTTTGAATGAATCAAAAACGAAATAATAAATTATTTTATTTGTACACAATATTATAATCGGGGTATAAATGTATAATGTGCAATATGCGTACCGTGAATTGGTAACAATAAACAGTTTGTGCGTGGTTTAAAAAAAAATAATAATACTGTTTTGTTCCATTTTGTAATCAATTCATTTTTTTTAATTTTGGTTGCTCAACGATAAATAACCTAAATTTGACAGTCTCGACCGCCGAAAATAATATTATTCTACTATCGTCCGTTGAACAGTGTTGGTGWATGGATCATTTTTATTTTACAAAGGTTTTTATTAATTTTATTATTTCGTTTTTTTTTTTTTGTGTATTTCCCGTCCACAGGGGATTTAATCAGTCGAAATTCGTTTGGAAGCCGGCGGCGTCAGAGTGCTCATTAATGGCACAATTCTATTGAAAACCCATTAACGCCGATGTATAATCTGTGGGCGCCTGAAATCATTCATTAAGCACTAGTGATGGTGCCTCCGCTGATTTGTGGCAAATCGTAAATAATTACACGTTCTATCTCTTCCGGTTTCTAGGTTCTAGCCTTCTCATCTCTATCCACCCGCTATATCCCAATCGCCGAAAAAGCAAAATATTTAGTTTCGTTGATTTTACTTCAATATTCGAGTAGGTGATATAAGAATATATTAGTACTATCGTAGCCTCCTCCCCCTTTCATCAATTGTTTTCAAACCATTGACTGCCGATATATATACAAATTATTTATTGTTATGAATCTTCGTCACCTCTCCTCAGTCATTGGATGAATTTAATTTAAAATGTTGAATTTAATCATTTTAAAAAAGTACCACCGTGAGATATTATTATCTTATAATTTGGATGCCCCAGTTTTCTATCGATTCCTGAATTGATCTCAAAATCCGCAACCCAACGAATTTCATATTATTATTTTCTTTAATTATTAATGTTATTTTAATATACGTATATATTTTTTTTGTATACAAGATTTCAATAGAGAAATTTCGTTGCTGTACCTACTGCCGTACGAATCGTTTGAAAGTTTAATTTAAAACCTCTCGATATTGTATTTGCTATTTACATTATATATTTTATTCCCATTGAATTGAAATTTCAATTTATATCGATTTATATAAGTGTTATAAGACAGAGTAATTTAAAGTATAATCAATTTAAAAATAACGACTATAAAATATGTATGTTCTAAAAGGCCTTATTGTAGATAATATGTTGTAATAAAATATCATGTTTATGATTAAAATATAGACATTTTTTTAATTATATTTGTGAAGCTATAAGAGTATAATATAAGATTTTTACATTAACTTTCAGATAAATCTATAAGAAAAAAACTTTTTTTTTAGTTATCTAAATGACGTTGTCATTGTATACTCAATATTTAATAAAAACTATAGCTATAGTCTTATAWAATGATTTCGAAACACTGATGCTAGGAAAGATGTCACCATCAACTCCAAAATTAATTAAAAATTAAAATCCCTGAAGGATAAAATCCAAACGATAAAGCGATATCAACTGGAATTGTATGTCTATACCTAAAAAAAAAAAAACCCAAAATAAAATCTACGCGTAATTATTAATTTAAGTTATTGGGAAAAATAAACTGATTGACATAATATATATAAAATTTTCTTGTTTAGTTACAACTTTTGTTCAAGAAAGTTTTTCAAGTTAATGTTTTTACCATAGATATTATATTATTTAYACTCTTACTATTTATCACTTTTTTCCTATCTTTATTCACATTATTCTACAATATTTTTATTTCGAAAAATGTAAAACATATTTTATTTAAATGTATTTCTAGGGTCAACTGAAATGTATAAAAAGAACCCATGGGATGATCCGTTTGTTCAGAATTTAAAAATTATCACTCGTTKTATACKTATATATAGGTACATATTSTACATATTGTACGTATTTTGTTTTATATTCCCGGTGTGTTTAGTATACRAACGTTTTTATCCATAATTTAACTGCAATTTTGTTTCGTCCATTTTAAAGTTCTTTAAAATAATTTCCGTGTATACATGTGTAATCTATATAATATATATCTTCTGCGAGCGGTATGGCGTAAGATCTATAACAGACATCACGATACTCGGAAAATACTCACAGAGTATAGTTTACTGAAAAGTCTCATCAAGTCCAACCTTATGCAACTTTTTGAGATTGACCTAATCCAMCAAATTCCGACAAATAAAGTTAAATATTGAATCTCAAAGTCAAAATATTACGTAGCAAAAGTAATGTGATGACTATGWGATCTAAACTAATCAAACAAACCGTCGATGCATGCTCCGACGACGCTCAATAACTTATAYTCAGGGCGCATTGGTTCATCCATGGTTTATTTTTAGKGGGTGGGGTAGTAGGAGGGTGGAAAATGTGGGTGAMGATGAGAAAAAGATCTGATCACAGGGCAATATTCGAGATTTTGATCTTAAGAGTTATACGACAGAGCGGTGGCGGACGGTGGTGTGCGACACGTTGAAAAATCGTACGTCACCGATAATGCCAGCCATGAGAGCGACCGGCGATAGTACGGTGGAACATTCTTCAGCCGACCCCTCGGCCAGTCGGGTAGTGGTTTCGTCTGTTCTCCTCATCAGTCCCAGTAGACAATACGGATCGCTATAACCTGACGACAACAACCAACGGGTCAACCAAACTATCCCAAATCATATTATAATATTATCGTACAAAGTACAGGTTATGTATATGTAATGTGATCGTGAACGTATATATTATTACAAGTAATATTATTTATACGTTGTCCATCTCTATAAACGAGGCCTATATTGTAATTACCAATAAGGAGTTTAGTACAAAATTTCGGAGTCATCAAGTAACATATTATACCAAGGTGCATAGTATAATATAATRTATTAATAGTAGCTATAAGTGTACTATAGTTATGCATGCGTAATTTGATTTAGGGTGTGATAACGTATACAACGAAATAAGTAATATAATATTATATGTTTTTTCTCATTCTCTCTCTCACTATTTTTTTTTCTTTTACCTCTCTATGTTTATATTTATTTATCTCTTTCTCTTTCCCTTCCAACTGATGACTGAATAATGGAAAATCAAATAGTTTTTTGCAATAGAATAGAACGGATGTCTTGTGAAATGTTTAAAATGAACAATTCAAAAGCAACTAAAATAAACATTTATATACATTATTATATATATGTATAATATGTGTGTATATCGATTGACTAACCTTCCAACCGACCAATAATAGTAGAATTTTTGGGTAAAAAACCGTCTCGTTTGATTTGTTATAATGGCGGTATGTTAAGAATTTACTCGACAAATATCTGTATTCAAGCACTATAGAAAAATATAACATTGAAAAAATATCTAAGCGATGGAGTATTAATAAAAATATTCATAGATACATGTTTTTTTATTATAATTGTCTCATCATATCAGCAACATTTTTTTAAGCTATTGATTGAAGTTAATAATTATAACTTTAATCTTAGTAGTTTAAGCTATAACATAAATAATAAAAATAAAAAAAATATTAAGTATAATATTTTTAGTATATCATTTTAAATTTTACAATTTATAAGAGAACTAGATTATTTTATTAAGGAAATAAAATTGGCAATAATAAGAATGGATACTAAAATTATACATKAATAACATATAATATTAATTTTTGAGTTCTCAATATGGCACTTTTATGGCTGTAATAGAAATATAAGTAAATGTAAGAAAATATTTGTGTTTTGTTGATTTTATATTTTAATATGAACATCTCAATAATATAAGTTTTAACTATGCTTTCCATGTATTGACTATTTAATAAACACTATTTTATTTTTTATCAAAGTTTTATATTTTGGTTTTTAAACCTTTTAAAGAAACTTTTTATGTATAGTATATAATATTCAATATATATATAGGTTTAGGAAAACATGAAATATTTAGTTAAGACTAACAATTAATCAAAATACTGTTTTTGTATTACATGAATAAAAATAGTTTGAACCAATGAAAATCTTGTCATTTGGTTTCTGAAAAGCTATGAATAATTAGGACTCATAATGCTGAACAATATTTCAATAAATTATTGGCTTTTTGACAGTTATCGTTTAGTTAATTCATAGAATTTTACGAATGGAGGTGTAAAATGTCAATTTATACGTTTGTAATTTTTTTTTTTTAATACTATCCACTGAATTTTGTATATTTAAATGTAAATTTGAAAAACTAAAAGTTTATTTTAATTTTATTTCATTAATTAAACGACTAAGTCTYCAAATGAGTCCAGATGATTTTGAAACAAATCTCAACAAAATAATTTGTATAGCATGTAAGTAATTGACATTAATGGCATGCAAATGTATTACACCTACAATATAAATAATTATGAAAATGTTTGTTTAAATTAAGGGTTTACTAAAAATTATGCTATGATGTAAATCTTGCCATTCATTTATTTACTAATGATAACAAATTTCTCAATTTATTTATYTTACAATATAATACAATATACCTATAAATTTTTAGCGATGCCTAAAGGAGCATCTAATTAATTATCTCGTATAATAAAATATGTTTGACATATAATAATATGTCATGTTAATGAAATGATAAATTTAAGATAGGTACATACGCCTTGAAGTACTTACAAAACATTGTTCAAATGATGCCAATAATAATTGATCATGAGCAGTTATCAACGTCACCTTAAACCCTAAACGTCAACACAACTTGACGGCGAAACGCGTTTAGCGTGTTCTATCAACCTATGCTTGAAGTCCTTCCACGACACACTGACGTGACATTGAGGACAATCAATCACGCTTGAGCGGAGCGGTTAAGTACGTTACATCGTAAATATTAAAGTAGCAGAAAACTGTATAAATGAAATTCCTGGCAAATGAGATCATCGGTCTGTTGGTGTGTTGATGGGTGGATGAAGATGGGTAAGCAGTGATATATTTTGACGTGCATTATGCAAGATTGTATTAGACTTCAACTTGAAAAGAATAAAATTATAGTTTATTGGAATATCAATCAATTTCTAATTCATGAATACCTTTATTACCGATGTACGCCAAATATAATATTATGATGTAGACGTTATAAAATTTTAGGGAAGAATATAAACTGACGAGATGTTTACTATTTATTTATTTTATAGTTTAGAACTTGTACTACAAAATAATGTGACTGAATTTATATTGTTAAATATTGTTTCTCGTATATACTTCAGATGATGTAATTGATGTTTGTAACTTTTTATGTTGTCAYATTTTATTTTTAATAATATTCGCATCATTAAAAGTTTTTTTTTTTTGATTATTACACATTTCAAAAAATCATAAATAGTTTCAAGTTTAATATTTGTTGATATCGAGAAAATATTTTCGATCATTTTTCTAAAAATAATAAAATCACATTATCTAAATGGATAACGAATTCGCATCAAAAAAACTTCGACATCAATATAATTTGTACTGAAACGAATTTATTAAAATGTTTTCTCGTGGAATTGTTTTATACAAAAAGGTTGCATATAGAATTAACCATTAAAGATTAAAGATAAATTATTATTGTAATTGGATTAATTTATTCAGGTAAGAATTCGATCTGGAATCGTGTAACCCTTTGGATTATACAGGAAATGATGGGATAATGTCCATTAATAACACGGTTTAAAAATGCAGGAAATTTAATTTTTTCACTTTTTGCTAAATATACTTGAGCAAAAAAATTCAATTTCATGAATAAAACTACGCTGGCATTTGATCGAACATTTATTACCGTTTTCATTTGCTCTTTTATAATACTGCATTAATTTTTCACATTATATTTTGATTTTGTTTTTTGAATGAGTTTACATCAGATATGCATTTTGTTATTTTTGCTCATATGAAGTGTGTGTGCCGTGAAATTTAATCAAAAAATCAGAAACACTGTTTTCAAGTTATTTCGTGAGTCAAGCTGTCATTTTAAAAGTGAATATTATTTCAGAATACAATTATCGTTTATAGGTAAAATTTATTATATCTATCTTTAAAATATTTATCATCAAACAATTAGAATTGTGATAAACTGGTTATAATAAGTCATTGAATAATTTAAGGGATATGAAAAATGACAATCTTTCTTTCGATTCTTAATGCTTAAAAAAAATAGTTTCAATTAATATTTTTATAGAAAAAGTCAAAAATGTTATCACAGGTGCAATGTAAAAAATGKTTTTTTTTATAAGTTTATGAACTTTTTTTCCGGATTATGTTTAAATAATTACTAGCAATTTTTAGTTTACTTTAACTAGATCTAATTTTCTTAACATTCTACAGAAAAGCACCCTTAAAGTTAATGATGGAAGTATTTTTACTGTACGAAACTGTGATGTCCTATAAAAAAAATTAAAATAAATACTCATCATTGTAAATAAATATAATTATCATTCCCTTAAGATCTTAAAACTTGATATGATACACATGACAGATAAGTATAATTACTTAACACCTCACTTCGCATATCTTTGCATAGAATATTAGTTCAGTACTATTTCAATAAATAGGAACAAAAATGATCAAGTATCGCATTCGATAAAACAATTATTTTAATTGAAATATTTTTTTTATAATTGGTTTTTAAAAGTGATCTTAAAATCCATTTTCGTAAAATAATTCATTATTAACGATAAATAATTAACAGTTCAACATTTTTTTACGTCATGATGCAAAAATGATATGTTGCTCAACTAAGAGCTAAATCCTAACCCATCCTTTGAAAGTTTGATAACAACTTGAAAGTATAATTTGCAAATTTATATAACATAAACTATTGAATGATTTGAACACAGAGATTTATTTTAACGGAATTCCAACATGAAATTTTCTGTCAAGGTATAAATGTAGATTCGGTTCAAAGACCATTTTTTTGAGTATGGTTATTGGTTATAAAAGAAAATACTTGGTGACAAAAACAACATTACAATTTCTTAACTATAGAGCTRTACATATTTTGACTTTGTGTGCTGGTGATCAAAAGGAAGTTCATTTTAAAATGTCTCTTGCCTATTTGAACAATTTAACTTTTTTAATATAAAACGTAATTGAACAAAGATCATTGTAAAACTATGTCAAAAAAACACATTAATTGATATTCAATCATACTGAAAAAGTATTATTTTCTGGTACCCTATATAAAAAAAAAAAACATAAGTGTACCGATATTGTCTAACCAAGCGCCGTCTTATGATTATATAAAAATAAAGTAGTTCACAATGAATTTAAAATAGTTATCTACTCATATTTTTAATCTCTGTATGTTGTTTAAAATCGCATTCCACAATACTAACATATTGTAACTGGCATAATATGAGTGAACGTCAAACAAAGTACATGCATGTATCCATATTATGTCATCAGTATACTTCCGGAACAACTAGGTCGTAAAAAGTGAGTACTGTTATATAAGATCTAAGTTTTTATTTTCTAACTTACCATTAGCGTCTTTCGCCTCCAGGCCTTCAGCTTCAACCACCGTCACATGAAGCACCACTATGGGAGGCTAAAGAATAAAAAGCGAAACATATCGTTAAAGAAAACATATAAGAATAATGTCATTACAATACACTATTGCTTTTGTACATGATGACGAAAATGGTTTCTGGCGGTGTGGTAGTAACAGGTAACAAGTCGATAATGAGATGTGTTGAATTCTATAATACTACACTAGATAATAAGAAAAACGAGAACATTTGAAAATTCGTGTCTCAGGAGTTCAAATTCTCTCATTAAACTTGTACAAAATATACTGGGATCTTACAATAAAATACTAGATACTACGTGTCGACCGTATTCAGTTCAAGCAATGTGAAAAGCATATACTGCATGTTTTGATTTACGAATATATTATATTTAAAAAAAAAAAAAAAATGTACAATTATATTACACACGGCTGTGGGAAATATTTATTCTAAGATACGTTCATCAAACATTGGTACATGCATGTAAAAAGTGAGTACAAAAAGAGTCAATATNTTATCATTGTAGTATATTTATTGTTGAAAAAAATGTGTATGTCTCATTATATTTTGAACTCTGAGATGCTTAGATTCAAAAGAATGATTTGGACGGATTTAGACATAAATTTAAATAAATAATGTCATGRTCAAATGAGTTTGTTTATAAAATTATATTATAATATTTTTATTTTTCTCAGAATGTCCAAACTAGCTAGTCAAATAATATTATACAGTTATCCAAGTAAACAACTTGTTTAAATATGATTATATTTTGGTGGAAATTCAGCTTTACGCAATAATGTTCAACATTTACTTTAATCAAATGAGTGATGACTAAAAGTATACCTATAACGGAATTTTTATATATAAATATGTTTTTGGAAAATTCGTAATTATATTATATTGACTGACAAAAATGCATTCGACCAATTTAACAACGTAATGTACGCAATGTCAAAAACATCATAATGGAGACGTAATAATACCTAAWGAATTGTATATTTTTGTTATTTTGTAATATTGCTATTTTTAGTGTAATTATATCTCGAATAAGTTAATGCATAAATTATCGTGGTTATAAAAAAATATTTATAAAGTAATGTTGACATTATCTGAAAATACAAGATGTGACAGATGTGCGTCAATATCATATACAGCCTTTACGATTGGCCTCCCGACCGGTAAATTGTCTTTAATCCTTACATCATGGTCATTGGTAATTATTTAGTCTATGATTAAACCCTTGGATAATTGATGCGCATGAAATTAGTTTTTGAAAATTTCAAATATGTACCGTAAATTAATGACAACTATAATAATTTATGTCTTAATTTTGTAGTAATTCGTTAAGTCTTAGATTTGGGTMTCTCAATTAAATCTTATTTAGAGTAAAAACACGAAAAAGCCTCACAATTATTTACTCCAATATAATAAAATGATGCTTATCATAATATGAGGGTAGCTGGAAAAACATTAAGTATTATTTCAGGTAGTTTTTGTTTGAGAGTGGCCTAGCCCAGCTAGATTTTTGAATGTAGAATTAACATAGTTACAGGTGCGTAAAAATATCGTATTTTATTAGACGCTGTTCTAATACGTTAAACATAAACGGTATACCTCAAATTAGAGAGTTTGTTTTATCTTTACGGCCCAGTAATTTAACACATCGCCCAGAATATGCAATCATTTTTTTTTAACCTCGTCAAAACATAAAAATAACGTTCTAAAGTTTGGAACATTGAATCCAAGAAATGTAATTTATGTGATAATTTCAATATAATATGTATTAATTATTATGTATTTAGATTATTGTTAATCTACTAGTATAATTTGAGCTTTAGGAGAAATATTTATGAAAAAAACATCGCTTWTCAAAATTTAAATTTTTAATCCGTATGATGTATTTTTAATATAAATCAAAATTACGAAATTCGATGACTTCTATGGATAAAAATCAATTATTATATATTGTACGAGTATATAGTAATGAATACTAATTCATACAAGTCTGGAATAAAAAAAACTAACGTCAAATAATATTCTTTATAAACGTCTTGAGACAAATCATAAAATAAAACAAAAGCTTTTAAGCATTATAAGCTTTGTTTGGAAAATTTAGAATCCATTCAAAGCACGTACGTTTTAGGAATTTAGTACCCATTTTACACTTCAATTAAAATGACTCGTTTTCAGAAGGGGGTTTTTTTTTGTCGAAGATTTCGTCAATGATAGTAAGTTAAGGCTGTAGGGTGCTATACGTATAGAAATTAATGTTCTCAACGTGAAAATGATTGTAAAATTATACCATTAAAAATAATAAAAAAATAAAGCGGAAAGAAACAGAAATTACTTTTTCCTCGTGCACGATGGCCATGTAACGCCTGTGCTGCTCGGGTGTGACATCGAATGCTTTTTGTGCGTAAACGTAAAGTTGATCTCGATGTGCACTCAGTTCTGTATCAGCGCCAACTTTGTACTTTATTGTATACAAGACATCCATGTATAAGTTTTCCATCTATGATAAAACACCAAATAATAGATAGTTAGTTTAATTACATTTATGAGTTATATTTTGGCAATCAAATGTGGTAAGTAATCCTATTATTAAATGGTTGCAATAATAATCTATATTATTTACTATGTTTAAAATAATATTGGATGGATATACATATATACATAAAATTAGTATAACGACATACATTTTTTATATATTTCAAAACATTGATAACGAAAATACAAAAAAATAGCAGTTTCCTATGTATACGTATGAAGTATATTCTTCGAAATTTCACTTTTAATCAAATATGTCGAAACAATAATATTTTCGAACAAAAATAAAAATTAGTCCTCATGCTCAATAATTTATTTTGAGCTACTAACACATGTAATGATTTTTATTCATAACTCTAAATTAACTAATTTTACATTTTCTTAAAGTTATGTAACAATTAAAAAATGCGTACTCAAATACATTGACTAAAACTTTTGATTAATTATTTTCTGTTAAATGTCAGTTTATGGGTTTCTTTGAATGTGTTGCTTTTATCGTTTTTAATTATTATTTATTGTCAGAATCTTATAGTTTAAAAAGTTTTACAATTAATGTCTTTTACATTTTGTTTTTAAATTAGTTAGTTTAAAAGTCTAAAATAATCAAAAACAAAAATATATATTTTTAACTAGAAATTGGATAGATTTTTACAACCATTAAATGTTAATATAGACTCTTAAATAAGTAAATTTTTWATTGTCTGAATGATAACGTATACCTACTTATTAGAAAATCAAAATAGTGAATTAGATGAAAATAATTAATCATCTAAAACTAATTGGTTTATGAAAACTATTGTAAAATAACTAAATCAGTATTTTAAGAAGATTGATTATTTATTTGTTATTTAATKTATGATGAAGACTGTATACAGTTTGATTCACCGAACATGCTCATTTTTCATCATTATTATTTTATAATAATAAATATTTTATCAGAATTCAGATTTTTTGAATTTTTTAATATAAGTACTTAAATTTTTTTTTTTTAACTCCTAATATTTGTGTACTACTTAAATAGTGTTCTGTTGAGATACAAACTTCTGCTATTCAAATGAAAACCTCCTTTTTTACTGAAAATAATTTAATAAATAATTTTTTGAAAATTGTTTATGCACTCAATTCAATATTCAAACGAATGGTTTATCAGTTATTAAAACGATTGTAGTAACTCGTATTTTATCAGGAAATCTAAAATTATTAGCATAGAGTGAAAACTGAAAATACATTACGGTGGACGCCACTTATTCATGAATGTTTGGTTCAGTCACTTAATAGACTCAAAATCGTCTGAAACGGACGGGGCGTATCCAAAAACATTATAAAAATTCGGTTGTCAGACTCACTATTTCACTTATAAGACTAAAATTTCGTAAAAAAAAGTTGGTAGAAAATAAAAACTTTTGTTCAAAATTCAGAAATAAATTTGTTTTCAAAAATAACATATTTTTGTTGATTACTACTGATTTCGATTCACGCTTTATAATGTGTGTAATGTGTATATACAATTTTTAATCATAACTTTTTTATTTGTTCACTAATAAGTAATGTGTAATATGTATGCATTAAAATAGCTTAAAATAAAAGCTAGATATGTAATAAATAAAATTTATAAGTATTTTGTGTTTTTTTCCACATCACCTAAAGGAATTATTCACTTATAAAGGTCATTTTAAGCTGGTCTCAAAGTGAGTTTTATTAGCGGTATCCACTGTAATGTATTTTCAGTTTTCACTCTATAACTCATATCTGTTTGCGCAAACTAAAAGTTAAAGGGGATTTTAAATATTGGATGATTCAGATTTAACTCATAATATTCAAGCACTAGACCTTAAAATAAGGTTAATCTTAAATCATGATTATTGTTGTTATGGTAGAAATACTGTTTTTTTTTTTTTAATTTGCAGTACATCGTCGTTTTAATTTGTTTGTGTATATTTTTCTACATGTCAAACCAGATCCCGCCAAAGTGCTTTTCCTTGTGAAATCCAGATGAAATAACTCTGACCCGTCTGAGAAGAAAACTTTTTAATCAATCCGGGAGATCATTAGCCATTTTAAGACAYGTTTCCACAGCCCACCCTTCAGTTAGTAATAATGCAGTATAGGAAAAATATTTTTCTACTCACTAATAAAAATAATTTTGCATGTTGTTTATTTATTTTAGTTGAGATACAGTACTAGAATATTATCAAAAGTAGGTACCCATTTCTTTTTTTTTTTATCAAAAGTGTAATAGGTACACTAAAATAATATAGTATTTCGTATTCATTTATATTAATATTTGTGCTTTTTTTATCATCATTAGCATATTCCTATTTATCTATGTAAGATTTGAGTTATTTTTAACGTTTATACAATCGTTTTATTTCTGGTGGTATAACAGTAGCTTGCGATTTATTTAGAAAATTATCGAAATAAGACTTAACGTCTATTCAACTACTTGCACCAGTGCACCACCAGACATTAAATCTTCTAKGTTTCACACTTTAAGGCAACTCACGTTTTTATACAGAATTTCATCACGTTTTTAAACCACATTTTTTTTTTTTGCAAAGCCAACACAGAGTCTCTGAATGCTTTCTGCAARACGTGGAATATTTATTGGTATCGAATATCAATGCATGTACTATATTGCAATTTGTAGTTAATTTAAAATCAACCCTCTCAAAAACATATCGTTTCTATGTTATATGTACAAATATTGACCCACAGTTATTATTATATATGTACTTACATCATGTTTATATACCGTCATATTTTCTAACTGTTATATTATACACTCTCGTAAGCCCTAATAATAATCCAAACTGTAAATTTTTTTTTTTAATTACTCAATTTTTTTCATTCATGGCATTTGATTCAAATGAAAATATTAAATKATWATGTAACCAAATTACCTCTTTTGGTTGAATACTAGAGACAGGTGGTGGTATCACTCCAACACTGTGTTCGGGTGGTGGGCACTCATCTTGCCGACTGTCTTTGATCATTTGCAATCGTCTTTGATCCAATTTCCATTGTAAGCTGCTATATTTCTCAAAAAACGAACCATCCGTATCATGTACACTGTTAAAAAAATTAAAAATCGTTAAAAAAAATGTTAAAAATAACATTCAAGTTTGCAGTGGCATATACATTATTTTTTTATGGAAAGGGATCAGAAAAAAAAATTAAGCCTAAGTACCTGTACTTAAAAAAAAATATAGGTAATATAACATTTTATTTCAAAAACATAACAGGTACACAGGGTGCGTTATTTGATGAGTTATAGGGTATGCTATAATAATCGTTCTTAACAGTATTGGCCACTATGGCTATGTGCTATTATTATTAATGTAATATTATAACTTGATGGTACCTGCTGAACATTTTTTCTACCTTTCTAATCATAAYACTTCTTAAAAATGTGAAATTACAACTCTGAATTAAACATTTACCTATAGCATAAAATTGAATTTTTCATTTTTAGTTAATTCATCAATTACTTTTTCAGCACTAGGACTATGTATTTGATTTATATGTCTATTGTCTACGCCTCTACGGTAATAAAACACTGTTAATATTTTAAATTAAAATCAATCCATGGATTATATTTCTTAACAACTTTTCTAATGCAACAAAATGTATTATTAGACACATGAATTTTCTGGAGTCATTTTTGTAACATTGTTATTAATCTGTCAAATTGTATTCTTGTAATAATTATATTTATGATATTAATGAATGATTATTGATTTCTGTCTACTGATTAGCCATTACCCGTCTATTGGTTGTGACGCATTAAAAATTTATAAAATTCTCGTCATTTATTTTATGTTTCCTAGTAACACCTTTACGCTGTAAATACTATTTWATAAAATTTAAAAAAAAGTCTTCTTGGGCGGTAGAGTCTGACCCTCACGTCAGTCTTTATTGTAAGTATATTGTACCTAAGTRTAATTACAATTACTAACAACTTTTTTTTTCGGTGAGGGTGTATCTTCTTTTGTCAGCTATAATTTAGTTAAGTATATTGTATGACGTTTTTAAAGTTTACATCTAAAAATTGTGACTATTATAGTGAATTTAAATTACATTTYAAGATATTATAGAGGTTATTTTTACAAGGAAATGAACCAATAATAACCTCTGAAAGAACCTCTTGACCATTATTCTTTAAGTAGAAGAATGAACTAAAAGACATTGTATACTTATCCGACATAAAATAACATATTATTATTTAATATAATATATTAAATTTACATTATATAGCAGTGTATTATTATTTTCTTTCTCAAAAAAAGATTTTTTCCATGATATCAGTCTAAGGTACTGATTCTCCGTAATATCCATTATTTGTTATTTATTTTACTATAGCTAATATATACTATAGCTAAAGTTAAATAACCTTATGATTTAATAAAAAAATATTATCAAAATGAAATGGAAAAGACAATCGTAATCATGAAATAGATCAGTGTCTGTTTTTCTATTATATATTCAGAATATCGTTTTCTGTAGTTGCATGAATAATCCACTGATAGCGTAATTTTTGTCACTCTCTATCTTATAAARTTATAAACTACATATCACGAATACAGTGCAATAATATGTCAAGCAAATAGTAATGTTTTAAATACCAATACGAGACACGATAATAGAATATTATACCTCTCACGTAAACGTCTTGCAGGAAATAAAGAACTTTTTAAACCGATTTTATAATTCTATGATTATAATTGTATTATAATATTTCTATTTCTACGATGTTTGAGCAAGAATATTATGTTATGCATTGGCTTATAAGTATTACCCAGAGCRTTGCCTGAACGTGCCAAGTTAATTATAAATGCATACCTAATATACTTGTGTATTAAATATACATGCTTGCATATTATATGTATAGATTTTTGTTGACAAAAAATGCGTCGGTTTTCAGGTAAATTGAACAGTATACCTAGACGAGGATAATATGATGAAAAGTTTAAGAGTATTAGGCCAGAGTATCGATGCTTTGTTTTCATCTGTCAGTTTCGCTGATAAAATATTACATATCACCGGCGAGTTTTGTATAATATAGTACTCGCGTGTCTGCGGTCTGTGGGCGTGTGCACTGTGCACSGACTCGGTTGGGACTTAAAATTATGTATAATATTATGTACGTACGTGTGAATTATATATCCACTTTCTGTGCTTGTATCATTTTGTATTATATTATATTACGTATTCCATTGTTAGTGACACTATAATACGCACGCGCCAAACAATTACTATACACAGCCAGTTTTCGGCGATTACAAATGCAGTTTGTGTATATTTCAGTAAGTTTATCACCCATGCTAATATTGCTGAATACGAAATTTAAGAGGCTCTTCCGCTAAACCAAAATCCCGTCAAGGAAGTATCCAAAATGAATTCGATATAATGAAGGGAGGTAGTTGGTAGAAAATTACATATCGCGTAGATAAGTTAAGCATGCAAAAGAARATAATTAACCCTAATCAAATTTTAATTGAACGTAAGACCGTTAAATTTAAAATAAGTAGTTAAAAAATAACAAATCACACTCASTAAGCACTTAAAGTTAATATGGAATATAATATTAAAATATAACTCAKTTTTAAAAAGTTAATCTACTTTTTAATCAGCATGTAAATTAWTTAATGAGTATTTTGTACAACATCTAATATTATTTAATCAATAAATTTTATACCTACGCTATTTTTTCAATGTTTTTTAGAGTTTTAAAATTCATTAACTGGTACCTATATACATTTTACCATCAGCGAGAGGAAAGTTAAATTTTTAATTACGCGTTTAATTATTAATTAAGGACAATAATTATTATCAGCGTCGTGGTTAACACTTGTCCGCACTGGGCGTGTTGACGATGTGATCACACGACTGCAACAAGTGCATAATAACTTAATCCGCTGCTGAACGGTATAGGCATTAAGCGGTAGGTATACCTATACCTAAGTTGGTATATAACTGCGTGCCGGCGCGTATGCGATTGTAAACAACGAGATTTAAGCCCATCGGCATAAATGGTTTTCGCAACGGAGATGACRCGCTATAATAATATTGCATTATTATTTGCATTATATATTATACGTGGTATAATATAACGTGTCCCAGAGAGATATGGCTAGGCATTGCCGTTATTCCTTCCCGTGAAACTGCGGAACCGTCTCGTCCAAATCCTCGAGAAAACTTTATCGTCCCGAACGAAGTATCGTCGTTTCCACCGCACTCGTTTATGGATATGGCGTATTGTTATAGTTCAAAGATGGGTACATATAATAACGATAATAATATTATGTTTATTGCGACCGTGGACGACTAAAACTTTGCCCCTCGTAATAGAACCCCAGTTAACGAGTGTATATACTATAATAATAATAATTGAGTGGTTGCGCTGATGGCTGGTGGTTGGTCAGATGCCAAGACTTGAACGCCGTTATTGTGTTATGTACACGAAAATAATATGTTTCAGCGTTTGACGGAAAAATGATGATTTACCATCGCACGAAATATGGTGGTCTATTAATTTTTGTAAGAACCTTACAGTACGGCAGTATCACAAAAATCATGTATTACCAATGTTACGGTATATTCCGTCATAATCACACGCACATCACGACGTGGAAAACTGTCGTTAATCGTGTTATAGCATATTTTAAATATTATGTTCATGTTACAGATACTGTAACGCATTCTCCGTTAAAAACRGGATGCATATGATGACGTGTTCAGTTATGAAACCCTGTCACATCGTAGTGACTTACATTAAATAATTCTACATCTGAGGTTTAATTATGGTAGGTACAAAAAAAAAGCCACATTTAAAATATTAAGTGCTCACGTGTTCATATTTATTGTAAGAGGCTTATACGATTTCCATAATTAAATGATTACACGATGCGTTTACTCAGGATCTTTAACTGCATTTTCAACTAACTATTTTATCCCTAAAGGGTGAGAAATATAAAAATATTTCTGAGATAAAATAAAATAAGTTTAAAAAAGAAATTGAAAAAAAATGTCATAATAGATTTATATAAAACTGTAAAATTATCCATGCTAATACAATTATTACATTATACCTATATAATAAAATAGTTTTAATGTAATGTATTAAAAATGTTTTAAAATAAATGAAAATTTAACTTCAAACTCCATGTTATAATAGAAGCCAAAATTAAGGACCAAACGCAGATTGAAGCCACTACCCCGAGAAGCAAATCATTACTAGTATCGTTTATATCTAGGCGTATTTAAATTTTAAATTCACCTTGGTTTAGGTAATTTTAGGTATATGTTATCGATATAGATCAAAGATATGTGAGATGCTACATAATTTCATTTTCAAATATTATAAACTTGATAACTATACACAAATATATAGCTATCACAATTCACAATATACAATATCGTTTGAACAATGCAATATGATACACAAGTACAAAAATAGGAAATGTTGGTTATTTATACATAAAAATATAACTGTAATTATTGTATATATAATTCAAATTACCTTTTATTATTACGCCGGTTTTATGAATATTATAAAAATTATTTTATCGTCTATGAATATTTTTAGGTTTTCTTTCTTTTTTATTATAACTATCAATCTTTTACTATATCGTCTGTATCGTAATGACGTCATAACTTTTTTCAAAATTAAATAATAATTATAGTTATAACTGATAATAATATTTTATAGCAATTATGATAAATTCTCCCGTTGTTTGTATAATCGTATAGGTATTACCTCGGATACTAACTTCAAATAATAGAAGCGTGTATTAATCACTGAAAACGTAAATCATAATAGAAATAGGATCAGATAGTCAATACCAATATTRAATAGAGAAAATTATTTCTAGATATTAATGTTGATATAATTACGTTCAAACAATAATATAATAAAAGTGGGTGTATTATAATAGGTGTGGAAAATGAAAAGRGCCCTTATGAATATTCAAATAAGATCGAAACAAAACGGATGTTGTTTCAACAACAAGATCTAGTATTTATTTACACTACGTGTCTCTGAATCTGCAGCTAAACGTCTTCAGTAAGGA